GGGCATGGAAGAGGTCATCGTTCGCTTGCCACTTTCCAGCCGTCCGTCCAAGCTCGTCACGTGGTTTTCGCGTGGTGAGCGTCATCATTTTACTACGCGGTACAATAGAGCAAAATTGACTGCGTTCGTACGTGCCTGCACATTAAAATGTAGAATGCAAATGTATAAATGTTTCAACAACTTTTGTGAGTTCGAAGGATGAGCACAGCTGCAATACATGCTTTTGTGGCAAGGTTCTTTGGTAACACCTGGTTTCATGGGTTCTGCGAGATAACTGAACCCAAGGGTCACGAAAGCGAGCCAATAATCTTTTCTATCTCGCAGGGCTCACGACGCCAGCGCTTTAAAGCTTTTGTGGTAGAAGATAATTGACCCCGAACACCAATTGCCTTTCAGAGGCTAGCTAGAAATAAGCAGTCAGAAGAGAGTCAGCCAAACAGTGGTGGTAACACCATACACTTTATTTCTGGGGTTAAGGGCGCGCTTGGGAACAGCTGATAACGTAGCAATAGCTCCGGGCGGTTTCAAGTGGCAGTGAGTGAGCCCACCCACGATGTTTTCACCAATGATTACTTTATTGAGGTAAGTAACTGATCACTATTGGTACAGCAAGGCAGCAGAAGGCGGGGTTATTCCACATTTCCTTTTGCTCGTTATCAGAGCTGGAAGAGTAAGGCTGCGTTTATACTTTGCGGCAGCGTAGCGTAGCGCTTCCAGCGTACGCCAGCGGCAGTGCCGGGGAGAGGATGCATATCGATCTAGCGTTCCCAGCGCGTCACCAGCGTTTCACCAGCGTTTTGCTAGCGTTTGCAGCGGCAGGGGAGTAGAGACTATGTGGCCGTCAGAGACGCGGAATCGATGTGTATTGTAGAGACTATGTGGCCGTCAGAGACGCGAATCGATGTGTATTGTAGAGACTGAGGGCGAGTGAGAGACGCGCAATCGATGTGTTTTGTACCCTCCAGCTCTCCCACGACGGCCACATAGTCTCTACAATACACGTCGATTCCGCGTCTCTCACGGCCACATAGTCTCTACTCCCCTGCCGCTGCAAACGCTAGCAAAACGCTGGCGTACGCTAGCGTTACGCTGGTGACGCTGGGAACGCTAGATCGATATGCATCCTCTCCCCGGCACTGCCGCTGGATAGCTGGGCCGCTCGTGCGTCAAAGTATATAACGCACCGCCATAACTGTATAAGCATTTCGCCTCGTCGCCACGAGTGTTTTTTTCTAGCTTCACTTTTCAATGCTTTTATATTTTCTTTATCTATGAAGCAAGCACTTTGGCGACAGGGGGAGGGCATTTTGCTTCTCATCAATGGGTCAACCCATCTAAATATGGCTAGCTCGTCTAGCCGCTGTGTCAGCCTTTCCTTCAGCTGACACAGCGGCTAGACGAGCTTGCTCCAGCTTCACAAGAGTTCACAAGCTTTACCACTTGTAAAACGGAAGTAGTAAGGCAGGGAAGGTGCGAATAAAGAGTGTTCGGGTCCTAATCAGAAGATGGGAATGTTCAAAAACTGCTGCCGCTGTATCCAGCGAATTTCCGCGGCGTCTTGGCGACCTTGTCAGTCCATGCGCCCACAAACTAGGGTCCCTAGAGATACCCTAGTAAATGAAGAAACTCCAATGTGTTTCTGTCAGCAGCACCACATAACTGAATTTTCAATGCTATGTAACCAATATTCTCAAGGAAGCTAAGAAATGATGGGTAGATATCAGTACTGTGAACAATAGCGCTCACAACAACTTTTAAAAAATGGTTTTTCAGATTAGATGTCTCGAGAGCGAAAACTAAGAGACCTTGTTGCCACCTCGAAACGAGCATTGTCTCTCATAACAAATAAATTTCCTCTCCGGCAAAGATGTGAAGTCGCATGCGACGCCATCCAGTTCCGAAGAGACTGATCCTAAGGCGCATGAGCATTAGCTGTTCACTGCAAACGCGGATTCAGCATCAAGATACGGGTTCAGCAACTGATCGCGACTCATGTAGTACAAATTGACACACACTTCTTGCAAGATTTATCGATATTTTTTGAACGAATTCCACTTTCAGTAACCAGGTGCAAGCCTTGCAGGAGGACAATGATCGCACGAGCCAGGAGCACCGTTCTCACCATTCTGCCCTGGTGGTCCAGCTGGTCCGTTCTGTCCTGGCTGTCCAGGAGGTCCTGGCATTCCGGGAGGACCTTGTGCACCCGGTTTTCCATCCGAACCTGGTCCACCAGGTGGACCAGGCTGACCTGGTGGTCCTGGACGACCGGGAGCACCAGGCCTTCCTGGTGGTCCAACTTCCGTTTTGTAGGTGCCAGGTTCACCAGGTGGACCGGGACGGCCAGTAGGACCTGGTGGTCCAGGCATACCGGGACTTCCACGGGCTCCTTGATCTCCGGGTTTCCCGTCTTCACCAGGTGCCCCTGGAGGACCAGGAGGACCGTCTGGCCCTTGCTGCCCTTTCGGACCAGGGTCACCAGGAGGTGCCTCACACGGGCACTGCGGTGGGAACAGTGACATGGGGTCAGGACCAGGTGGTGCAGGGGGTCCAGGTGGTCCAATGTCGCCGGGATTGCCATCCAACCCATCTGCTCCATCTCGTCCAGGATCGCCTGGAGGCCCAGGCGGTCCGCGATTGCATGTGCAGCCTGAAGAGTATGATATAACTTTGAGGGTGGTTGGCATCTCGTAAAGACAACCTACATCCTTGTGCACCTCCACCCTGCACGGCTGCTTCAACAGCGGCTGATGGAGTGTCGTATCCAACGGGTTCGTCACGTAACTCCTGATCGTGGAGTCGGCGAGCCCAGAAGTCAGCAAGAGTGTCTCTGTAATACAAAGTTATTTGTATTTTCAAGAGAAGGTTGCAGTTTTGGAGCAGCAGCTTTCAGAACATTTCGATTATTTCTCCACTCACGATCATCCTTGAAAAGGCTAGCAGCCACGGGAGTTTGAGTCATTCTTTGCAAACATGAGTTCGCACTCATGATTAGATAAATCTACCTCTTCTCCAGTCTCCGATGAGTCATCACAATGTCGGCCAATTTCCCCACATCACGTTTGCCACCGGTTTCAATGTTCAACATTTCCTTCCACATGTCTCTTGCACGGGCCTAAAAAGTTTAGTGTATTTCTTACGTACTAGTTGGAAAACCAGTCACGCCCAAACTAGTTCTCTTATCCACTCAACGTATCACTTTGGCGCCCAATAATTCAGGTTGTAACGGATTGAGTTCTATGTAGTTTGCTTCATGGCACAATCGCAGTTCAGAAGGTGGGGATGGGATAGCACGCAGTGGCCGAGCGACTAAGTCTGCTCTGTGGGGCCACCGGCGCCTCTACTAGTTTGCGCTCCAAGTGCCCCTTTCCGCTCCTCTCCCAAAGTAGTACATTAGCGCGTACTTCGCGGCCTTGTTTTGAAAGAATCTGCAATGGTTTTGATAATAATCACATTCAGATCACATTCACTATCCAATATCTAAAGGCAGGTTGGCCGTGATGGTTAATCTACGAGACTAAGATCTAATAGGGCGCCTGTATAAGTGGGTGAAATTGTCGAAAGGAACAGAGTGCAACGGATCTAAAATGCCTGCGGAGAAAAAAGCTCCGGTTCTCATGATTGTAAATCGATTTCGGACGTTTCCTGTACGCAATCTTACCAATTCACCGCTACCTGAAGATTCAGCTGCATATGTAACCAAGATAGGAAATGCAGACCACGGGCGCCATCCCAATCATAATTTGCTTAGCAAATGAATGAATACGAGCGTCAGGAACGGTCGTCCATTTGTGGGCGGGCGGGCGTGGCGGGCGTTTGGGACGTAAAGTTGTGGCTTGATAGGGCCCTTATAAGGGCACCTTCCTCGGGGAAACCGCTATGCAGCGCCTGCCCAGGGTCGCGGAATTCTATCCTGCCAGGAGTATTGATCCTAGTCGCCTTGGGGGATTTATCGTGCCAACTGCCTTTAAAGAATGGTATCCAATCAACGATCCTGAATCATCAGATAGAAGAAACAATTTTTCCAATGTCAAATTTTTTGAGTTTTTTTTCAGCGTAGACGATTTATTTGATTTCCTTGACGTCAGAGTGATGCGTCAACTAGCTAGGAGCATGACTTGGCTCGCGAGTGAGGCTGCGCTTTGAATGTCCTGAACTACACCACGAAGAAATGCATACTTCGATTGGTTCTATTTACATTCCTTGTCCGTGAGACCGAATAGGGATGGTATCTGAACTTGGCACAGGATGGGTCGATTTTTCGGATCGATACAACTATAATAATGTTCAGTGCTCGACAGAGGCACGACCGCATTTCGACAATATATCTCCAAAACCATAGCTACCGCCACCTTTAGTTGAAGTACGTAGCCACGCCTACCACATCTCATGGATTTCCTGTGTATATGTGCGCTTTTTTTGGAATTCCCAAAAAGAACAAAATTGAATAAGGCAACGTTGTTCCCGCTTTCTGTAAGACATCAACACCCTTTGGTTTTTTTTTGAATTTTCGGTACATGTAGAACAAAAAGTGTCATTCGAGGAACACAGCGTAGAATGGAAAGCGACTCTCCCCCTGTCAAGGATTCTGCAAAGTAAAACTACTGTAGCGGAGGCAAACTCTTCCGCCAAAGTCTATGGGGGAGGGAGGGGAGTGACACGTTGGAGTTAAGGCTCCATAATTCTATTCAAACGACGTAATCCCAGCTTACAATAGGGGTCCTTTGATTGCTCCTAGATTACTAGCACCTCTTTGTGGATTCTAACTCATCATATTGTCTTTTCATTCATCTTTTTTCATGCTATCTCACCTGGCAGTATTCCAAATCAAGCTGCACTTGTGATTCGAGCGTTTGGACATAGTGCAGTATCATTGGAAATGTGAGTAGGCAGCTGGTGAGTGCGACCGTCGAGAAGACGACCGCGGCAAACGCAACCGGACGAAGTGACGGCCGTTCTTCCTTCTCCGACATTCACCTGAAGCACAATTTAAGCACCTTGCCCAATTGAACGAAGACTTGCAAAAGCCAACGGAGCGAAGACGCGCAGAACTGCAAAAACGGCATGTGAATGGCATCGGCACCTTAGCAAACGATTTATATATCGGCAGAAGTGGATGCTAGAGGGAGCCGCGACAAGGGACCGTAAAGTGCCGCCATCGTCAGTGCGCGGCAATGGGCGCTACGTGCTTAATTCGCACTAGAATTTCGACTGGAGCATCGGATTTCCTGTTGACAAGGAAATGGTAGAGATGCTTGTCTATTTTCGATTGTACATTGTCTGTTGTTGACCAATACCACCTAAAAGCATCGTCATTACCAAGCGCAACGTCGCACGCACACCCACTGGCGCGGCGCGCAACGTCCACTGACGCGGCGATTTACGATTCTTCTTGCCGTATACCCCTTTCACTGCCACACACTGATGTAGGACCAAGGAAAAGAAGAAAGCTGAGCTCCATAGCGGTGATTCAGTGAGAAAAATTAAGACTGCGACCATTGATTTATGAGGCTCAGTATCATTTAAATTAGAATGTAAGCCTTCTCAGTGAGCAAGAAAGCTGTTTTTGTTATTAATCAGGATTATTTATGTAGTGAGTGGCTATACGGAACATATATTCACATAGCTATTGAGCTTCAAATGAAAAATCATTGTGGCCGTGGAAGGCACTATTACATAACCATACCGCAGGCACAGATGGTGTAGTGGCAAGTGGCACGCTTACCACGAACTCACTCGAAAGACAAGTCCCAGATCTGCTGCCGCCCCGCGACTGATTAGAGCAGTTAAGCATCCGGGACGCTGCATTGCATTACCACGATCTCGTCTGACAGGATAAAAAAACTAACTTGTTCTACATCGCCTTGGCCCCGCGAGTGGTTATGGTAGGCCACAAAATTATTTAACTCACTACTAATTGTGGAATGGAAGCAGAAATCGCAGCGCATCCCAAGCAGTAATTGGATACCTTCCTGCGAAACCGTAGCTCAGTCGTTCAAGCTACGGTTTTGCAGGAAGGTATTTCGTGATAGTCAGTTAGATAGGGAAGAACAAACTGCCAATCTCTGAGCGAAAAAATTACTCTGTTTCTCTGGACCTTCTTCGGTTTCACGGCGAATCTCTGAACGATTTATTTTTTTGCCAGCCGAGACGCATTTTGGGCATGAATGCGCATCCATATCCTTCCTCCCCTTTTCCGCAGCTGCTGTGCTTGTAACGGATCAAATATTGTTTTACCCAGTTTTTTATCATATTGTTCCTCGGTAGTAAATTGCTATTGACAATTTGAAAAAATGCACCAGAAACGACGATCAGCTCTCTGAGGCGCAGTACTACAACTGCCCGCTGCTCGAAATAGCAGCCGGTGGTTGAGAGATTACTATCATGAGCTGTGAGAAAGTCGCACTGCGATGTCGTGCTGCACTACAGTATCCAAGTTGCCGTTGGAGCTGCTCTTGTTCATGGCGTGTTCTCCAGAGCAGCAATGGCATGGATCCCTTGAATAATAGCAAGTTTTACTGTAAGGGCAAAAACTGTGGCATTGCAGTTCACCCCATTACCGATCGCAAGACAGACCCGCCACATATTGCCAGCAGAGGCAGCGTTGGATAGCATGCATGACTTCGATAAACAATGAATGACAGGGATTTTTATTCAACCTTTCCATCCTCTTGAAATGCCGATGAACAATGCTGTTGAGACAAAACACCGAATAGGTCAGCCTTTGATTTGCGACTGCTGGAGGAATCGCCTGGCAACTGGCTGAAACACAATTCCAAAAAGCAGCTCAGTTATTGCGATGTCATGTTCCCTGAGCTCGAAATCTCCGGCGAACATCCCCATCTATCATTTAAAAAGAATAAAAAGATCAAATCTTGGTCGCTGATCTATCCCTTTGTGAGATGCGGCTCGCATTCTTCTACTTCCATTCACAATCGTAGTGGCTTTATTTGATGCGACGTTGCCTATGCAATGACTTGTGGGGACCAACTGATGTACAAGTCAGTGGTGTTCTTCTCCTCCAGACGAATCTAGCACCAATTTACCATCCCCGGGCGGTAGCGGTGGAAGGCTCTGTTGGCCTGGGCGGGAGTCGATCCAGGATTTGAACTCAGGACCGCGCGAGTGCTACTTGGTCCCTACACCGCCTCCCATCTCTCACTTATATCAAAAAGATAAATGATCAGGCGTTCTCAACCTGCTGGACTAGAATGCGTGAGCTTCGGAATCAAGGATAACGACGAGCGAAACGTTGGGCTGTAGAAACCCAGGGACGTGAACCTCTGTTAACTACTTGAACGGTTGTGGCGCAACGTGCATGATTAAGAGAAGGGATCGAATTCTAGTCCCACCTCTTTCAATTTGACCCGAGCTTTGGGAAAAACATGCAGCAGCCGCGAAATGCCAGAAAAAGAAAGTTAAATATAATAGTCATATGGTGAAATATTGTAGAACATGTGGTAAATCCAGCTCGTATGACGCCACTGATACAGTTTGTGCTCTTCTAAACCCACGCTGAAATCAGAAACCCCCGCTATTCAAAAATGATTTGTTCATTCGCAGCAAATATACGTCACTTAGAAGGGTTGCCTCATGCGAGTAATGCAATAGGACATGAAGTGCGCACGTCATTTGGTCAGAGCTCTAAATGGTGGCAGTTACAAGATTCAGTGATGCTCTCCTAGCTTACTGCCTCGACCCTGCGGGCTGACTTCTTTTGATGGTAAGGTAGCCTTCCTCAAACCCTTTTCCCTACCTAACGGCAACCTTCATGAAGAGAAATGTTACGTTGTTAGTAGTTCATAAAACAATCTCGTCGCAACATAGCTACCTTTCTACATAGTTTTTCGTTTCGAGAAAGCTTGGCCAATAACGGAGAAATTTTTCTTCGGTACATCCCCACACCCTACCCTTTTCCGCTTTAGAAGTCTTGACGTCTCTATGCCGTGGCAGGACCATTGGAGCAGTAAGGCACTCCTGAAGCGGGAACAATCAACAGGCCGAAAACCTGTTTTAGGAAATCTCGAGTGATGATATGCCTTGAGGATAGAACGTGGAATAAGGACAATTCAGCATTCATTTTCTAATCATTGTCGGCGTTGTTTTGAAAAAACGGAGCGTGGAAGGCCCGGTCGAAAATTCGAAATACCCTGCAACCTAGGCCGAGACCGCATGCACACAATGTTCCGTGCAATGTTGAATGCAAACCTGGTGAAACCCAGACGAACTACTGAACAACCTCCTCCTTTCGTCTCTACGCTTTTGTAAAGGATTCCCAAGTTGATAGTACATGTACTCTGTAGGAAGCAATGAAGAGAGAATGAGTTCGTGTTGCTCAGGGAATATTTCTAGAAAGAACTTCCGTAAATGAACGTCAGAAGAATACGAAGATGTTCGTTAGCGAAGGAGCAAGGATTTGGGAACGAGAAACTGGCGCTCGTCGATTAAAAGGGGCTAGAATACTCGAAACGTTAGAGTGTCACGATGATGGCCTCTAGAGCCTCTTATATCCAGCTCGAACTGGTCTTTGGCGCGTTCCACCGTCTCGTCCATGTCTCAAGGCTGCGCACTCCGCGAAACACCGCCTCCGTTCATCATTTCAAGTCGGCGATCTCCGCCATCTAAATGATCTCACTACACCGTCGAACCACTACGAAGTGGTAGAAGCAATGACGACGATGACGAAGGCTTTTTACGGGCACACCAGCACCCCCGCAAAAACACATGCAGATGTTGAAGGAGAAACGAGCTAGACGGTGTGGCGGTTGCGATTCGAATTGAACACGCATGACAATGGAGGCGCTAACGACATTTATGTGAATGCACTTTAGGGAGGGGGCACAAAATCTGACGCAACAGAATGGTCACGTGGAAGTCAACTCAATATGACACCTTGAAAAGCTTCCAACGACTCATTTTCAGAATTTTTATTGATAAGTCTCACTCCGAAGTCTTGGTGTAGTGACATGTGGCTCGCTCACCACTCGCGCTGTCCTGGGTTCAAATCCAAGGTCGACTCCTGCCTAGGTCAACCAAGTTCTCTAGTAACTTACCAGATTCGTCTGGGAGGATAAAACACTGACTTGTACATCGGCTGGCCCCCGCAAGTCATTGTATAGGCCACATCGCATTCAATAAGCCACTACGATTCTGAATGGAAGTAGAATGCGTGCCGCATCCCACAAAGGGATTGATCAACGGCGAAGACTTTATCCTTTATCCTTTAGTCTCGCTATCCTCTTTTCCTTTACTCCTTCACCGCACCTTCTTTCAGCTCTCCTAATACTCATACCTGCCGAAAGTGACAGATCCGATCAGCGCCCACACTTCCACGCATCAAGTTAAGGGCGCTATAAAATCGACGAGACGTTGTAGTTTAAATGGCCACACGCACATAATTTTCGGTACCCGGGCCTAAATGCTAGCAGGGCGCCAATAGTGGAGGGGGGGAAGGGAAGTGGCGAAAGAAGGGAGTAAAACAGTCAACTGGCAAGAAAGAGCCTTCATATTTAGTGACTCAGAAATCAATTTGGACGAGTTTCCGTACGCATCTTGCCCATATAAGCGCTACGAAGATATAGGTGCTAAGATACGGCTGCATGTGTGTACTCATATATCCATGCAGCACCGCGGCCGCTTCATACCAATCCCTTCGCTTCATAATTTGCTTAGCAAATGAATCAATACGAGCGTCAGGAACGGTCGTCCATTTGTGGGCGGGCGGGCGTGGCGGGCGTTTGGGTTGTAGCTTAAGGGCCCTTATAAGGGTCGCTTCTTGGAAAGCGCCTGCTCAGGGGCGCGGAATTCCGTCCTGCCAGGCATATTAAGTCCTACTCGTTTTTGGAGATTTATCGTGCCAACTGCCTTTAATAGCGCCCAGCAGGACAGAATTTGGCGCTTTTGAGCAAGCACTGCGTGGCGCCTTTTCCAAGCAAGATATAGCGCCCTATCAGGCTGCAAGTACCGACTCGGA